CCCTCACTTGTGCCCCCCACAGGGCACCACTTTGGTCCAATTCAGCACATCCGTGCTTCTGGCAGGCAGCGCTGAGGGCCTCTGGCCCTTTTTCACCACTGCCCACCCAGGCCCTGTCAAAAGCAGGTGGCGATGTGGCAAGCCTCGCCGGCGTCAACGTCATGTGCCAGCTCTTCCTGGCGCCCCAATTGTGGTCACAGGTTATTTCTGCCAGGTTGGCTTGGGGCTTGAGCTGGTCAAAGGTTACACGGAGCAGTATTTGCTTGGAGGCCACATTTGAAGTCCCTACTATCTGAGAAGATGCTGCCCCCTTTCCCAGATCCCCAGAAAGCCCTGACCTCGTTTGCAAGCTCCATCCCCTCCCCTGCCCCCTATCCTTTCCCACTGCTGGCCCCTCTTTCCTTCCCCCCTTACCTCTCCGTTGCCCACTGCCAGATCAGAACCACTCAGTTTGGTGGAGCCCCTTGCGCTGCCATTGTCCACCCTTTCCCCTTCCTGGGCAAAGAACCTGTTCCGCCATAGGCTTCAGAGCTTTTTCCTGTCCTTCCTGGCTTCTCCCTTCTGACAGTACCTCTCCAGGAGCGCAGCTGCCTCAAGCCCTCAGAGCTTGCCCGTTCTCCCCTCACTGCCCTGTGCCTTTAGGTCAGTGTCCTCTCCCTTTTCTCTGTACCCCCACCATCCTCCTCCCTGGACCTCCCAGACACTTAGCTCCTTTCCCCCATTATGTCTGTATCACCCACCCTGTGTGCAATATGGAAAGAGACCCAGTAAATGAAGTAGATTTATAATGCTCCCCCTACTTTGGACCCCTGTTTGCCCTCTGGTGATGCACCTTTTGGAGCTTGCACCTCTGACTGGAGTTTCCTCCAATTTTGCACTATGTTGATATTTCACAGCCCCCCCCCCAAATGCCTGCAACCAGTGGCAGAACCAGGGGGTTCAGGCTGGAGAACTTGGTGTAGTGGAGGGCAGGTCCCTCCGCCAGTGTGAGGCCGTCTTCTGATTCTAACTGGGCTGCCTTCTAGTGAGACTGGAACCCCCACCTCCAGGTATTTCTGGACACGCCTCCCTTTCTCTCATTCCTTTACGCTTTTTGGACTTCGACAGTCCTTCTATTTAAATGCAAGCAGTAACAGCTGTGTTTGCACAGCGCTGTCTTCTACGCTGCATCCTCACATCTACTGCAGAGGGAGGAAACAGACCCAGAAAGATCGAAGTGACTTCCCAGTCACTCGCAGTAGCTGGGAGCCGCCTCGCAGGGACTAGAAGCCAGGTGTCCCAGGCCCAAAGCCTCATTCTTTGACGGTGATAGCTTGAAACTACTTGTTGGACAATGAACAGCTGCTAAGGACACATGGACAGTGAGCACACTGGGATGGGATCCAAGACATGGGCGCCAGGAGGTGGGTGGTGGGCAAAGAGGAGCACCGTGCTTCACACTGTCCCAGTTCTGGCTCTGCCATGCCCTCCTCTGCCTCCTGTGCCCGACCTGCTGCTACTCTCCCTGTCGCTTCAACCAAGGCGATGCTGCAATAAAAACGGATTCTTAGTCCA